TGGAGGTTTCAAATGATAATATTAAGTGTTGAGACACTAATATTTAATCGTAAACCCTGTGAACATGTTTCACTTTTCCAGAAAGTAGTATTTAAGAAACCCTCAATGAAGAGATTGTATTGAGTTACAATGGCTAGTGGAAGAGAGGCTAGACCAGATGTGATGTTAGGATAAACCACCATGCAGCATGTTGGTATTTAATGAACCTTAACTGGACTTGCTGTTCCGTATTTCAGATTTGTTTGTTTACCTGTTCCATGTACCAACATCACACTAATGCAGCCTCTTGTGTTGATTTGCTGGATGTTATTCTTGTTCTGAAAGCCCGTATTTTCCTTTTATCTGGTTGAAAAAGTCCGCTGCAAGCTCTGCATTGCTGACACTTGTGTTGTGTTGTTGCACATCTATGTGTCATAGGAACCTCGAATATCTTAGACTTGACAATTGACTGATCAACAGCCAACAGGTTTTGTTTTTTCTCAATATAGTTTGTGAATTCAGTGCAGTTCTGTAGCTGATTCTCAAGTTTTAGATTACCAGTTCTTCACACCAGCCCCACACATAACCTCACAGCCACACAGGAGCAGCCTGGGATCTTTATTTTTTCCTTTCTACCCTCCTTGTCAGATTATGCTCACAAGTAGCCTACTGGGACCTTTTCTGGGTGCAGAGCTGGATCAGAGTATGACGTTCTAACACTGATGCAAGTCAAGTGTACTGAAAAGTAAAGGAATGTGAAATGATGTTCACATCCAATTCTAAACCTATACCTTGTCTCACAGAAAATAAATGATCATCTGATTCACTGCTTTTGAAAATACTTCCATCTCCAACATACAGTATACATATTATAACTGCCTGGAAAGTAATTTCATTACTGTTCAGTTTCTAAATTGGATCTGGCATCATTTCACTGAGGCTGAGTGTGTCACCTCCTGAATAAATTGATCTGTTAGCGAATGAATTAATGATCCCTTTGTTGGAATAGACATTCAAGCATTCGAGACTGACCATACATACTAATAAGTGTCTGAATGAAGCCGGCACCAATTGCCTCACAACATTTTGCTGTGCAGCCATCAACTACTTTGTGAATAAAATGGAGCAATCCCAAAGGCAATTGTGACTGTGAGCCATTTGGTGCTATTTGGTTGGTGGGGATGTCATAATGAAAAGCAGTCTCTTCACTGAATTGGTGTAATTTTTTGCACAAAATCATGATCATTTCCAGCAGAGATTAAGTTTAATTGATTCAATATTAAATACATTTTGAAATACCAGTGAGTGTAGTGTAGGCTATTACATGTGTATTTTTCGGACTGTGACAATGTTCTCCAAGGTTCTGTATGGTTTTTTATTCATCATGTTGAGTCAGCGGAAAGAGTAGGAATAGCCTATTGTGCTACTGGTTATGAAATTCTCAGATTTGCCCACATGAATCAAATGATTCCGTTAGACAGATGGAGTGATTCAAATTAGATAATAGAATCCAACCTCCCATGTATAATACAGAAAGATCGCTTCCTTTTCCTCTTAGAGAGATCCACTTCCCTCCTCTGACCTAATAAAATAAGCTACAGTGCATGTCTTCACAGCATATTCTTGTCTTCAGCATTCTGGGAGCAGCTTAGTAATCCTTTTTGTTTGAATATTTCTATACAAGTGTGCATGTACAAATGGGACAAAGATGGCAAAATGGTGACAATGTCTCTGTGAATAATTCATTCTATGAAATCTATTGGAAAAAAGAATTGCAATTTTTATTTGTATTCATGTACAGTATGAACTACAATCGCAGGTATCAATAATTGAACATCATCCTCAGAGAAATTAGTTGGACTCCTTACAAGCACAGTCTCTTGTTTGTTTGTTTTTTTCTTGTTTTTGTTTTGCTTTTTGTCTTTTTTTAACAATTGAAGCACATGTAAAATTATGATCTGAAGATTTTTTTTTGCATTATGTTTTTGAAAATATTTTTGTAGAAATTTAACCATTTGATTATTATTCTCTCCAAAAATGAGAGAGAATATTCCCACGTACAGTAACCCTCCCCATACACAGACAGTTGGCAGAATAACACACAAGAATTTGATCACCTTGGCTTAGGATTTTGCACAAAAATCAAGCTCACTCTGCTGGTATTTCAAGTCCAACATTCTGCAGCTCAGTCTTAATTTCATTCTGGCATTCACATATCTCTCCACATAAAGCCATCCTGCTCAGGTAAATACCAACACAGAGATATTCCATTCATTCTGAATAAACTCACAAACCTCATCCCCAAATATATATATAAAAAATCTCAACCTTATTTTTTTTTTCACTGTAGCCTGCATCAACATTGAATCATTAAGCCACCAAAAGCATTGAAAAGGAATTTAGCACTGAAAAAGAAAACAGTGGAAAGGGAAAGAATGGTTCACCATTGACAGTGATGTTCTTGTCATTCATAACACTCAATGAAACACTGATAATGAAAAGGTTTCTATATAAGTTGTTCCATATACAGTTTAATCTGTCTCTACATCACATGACCAACCTTTTAATTTATATTATGCTTCCACCATCTTTGTTCTCCATTACACAGTTATTGTCGAAAATGAAAGAATAACTTTAGGACACTAACTGATCAGACTGACAGTTTATTATGCTTGTACTGCAAGCTTTGGTAGTTGTCTTTACAGAGATGAAAATCAATAACGCGCAGTGGAACTGCTGGACAGTTAAATTGTAAAATTTTTCACATGCTGTGAATTATTTCATTTAAATAAATGGAATGGTGCATTGCTCTGCAAAGGTTACACCATGTGCAAGTCAAATCCCATCCAAACCATTTGTAAATCCATTATCCTTTATCCCAGCTTTGTCGATAATCAGTCGCATTTGTTCGCCAATCGCCAGGGGGAAATTAAAATATGCTTGTTTCACAGAGACCAAAGCGAAAGGCATATCTACCTCTTCATACTTTCTGCACAAGGTCACTGTTTCCATGGCGACAGTCTGATGGCTAGTTTTGCCTCCTTATTCCTTATCTTTTTTTTCACTCCTTTCCCTTGATATCTGCAATATCTCTGTTTGAAGACCTCTCATGACTGTTGTAGATCTGGCTCCCCACCCACTGTTCTTCACTTTTCATCCCCACCTCCCCCTTCCTTAAGCCTTCCTCTTTGAAAGACTAAATGAAAAAGCAAAGCGTAAACAGACTACAGGAGAGACAATGTTTTGATGGTCTATAAATGATGCAACATCAAAGTGTGTGTGTTTTTCTCTGACAAAAATGAGACTGAGCAGGGGTCGCTTCAATATCAAAGGCCTCTACCCCCTGTTAGATGTTGGGCACAGGGAGAGTGGAAAAGTCTCATGCTGTTTTATTATCAGCTTTCCTCTGTTAGTCTGCAAATGAACTGCTGATACAGATTAATGAGCTATAAACCATCTCTCCTTATTTTGTTGCAGGTTCCTAGCTGCTTCGCTGACTATGTTAGCCCAGTCTCCGTTAGTCTGACAGGGTCACACTACATTACAAAGCAGCCTCATTTGCCTCTTTATCTGTATAACAGATGGACTATCAGCGCCCAAACTCGTGTGACCCTGGGGTGATGGCAAGGTAAGACGACACTGAGTGGACGTAGATCATTACTGGGTTAACAGGGAGGATACAGACCGCAGCCTTATGCTCCCCTTCATTTTCCCAAACAATATTCTGCCATCGTACGGCACATGCCGACGGATAAAGTGTGACAAATGAGACATGGCGAGGGGTGAGGAACGTGCCTGAGCTAAGTGACAGAGAGACAATCAAAGAAGCAAGAGGACAGAGAGGCAAGGAGGCGGGGGGGGACAGGATAGAAAGGAAAAGAAAGGAAAGGAAAAACAGAGGATTCTAGACTAGAAGAAGAGAGGTGGAGTAGAAGGAAAGAAGTAGTAAAGGTAGAAGTGGAAAAAAAAAAGTAGGAGGAGGAATGGGAGCAAGAACTTAATCTTAATTAAAGTGAAGGATGTATGGCTGTTGTTTAGGAGCCACAGGGGAAATACACATTTACTCATTTGGCTGCTTTGCTCCTCAGGCATGCTGGCTTCACTGTGATATCATCCAGAGCTGTGTCATTAAAAGATCTCATTTTGTGCTGAGTGACAGCTAGAAAAAAATGTTTTGTCTATCATAAACCTCTGCCAAATTGTACAAGGTATGCTGAAAAACTAGCAAATAAGTGTCTATGAAGATTCTCAGTCATCCAGGTCATAGTTATCCAACGAAGGTTAAAGTCAAGGGCAACTGGACTTGGTTGAAGATACTGGAACAAGATCCAAGAAGAACAAAACTACAGGGGAGGAGGAAAAGAAGGTCAAACGCAACAACATTGTGATTCCATACGTGTCTGGAGTATCAGAGAAACTCAGGAGGATTTTCAACAAACACAACATCCCTGTGTTTTTTAAACCCAAGAACACACTAAGACAGATGCTGGTACACCCCAAAGACCGCACACCCAAACACAAGAAAAGCAATCTAGTGTATGCGGTCCAATGCAGTGAGGAATGCACAGACCTGTATATTGGGGAGACTAAACAACCACTACACAAACGCATGGCTCAACACAGAAGGGCCAACTCCTCAGGTCAAGACTCTGCTGTCTACTTACATCTGAAGGACAGAGGACACTCGTTTGAGGACCACCAGGTGCACATTTTAGACAGAGAAGATGGATGGTTTGAAAGAGGTGTCAAGGAAGCCATCTACACCAGGGTTGAGAAGCCGTCATTGAACAGGGGAGGGGGTCTACGCCACCACTTATCCCCCACTTACAATGCTGTCCTTTCATCACTTCCCAGGAAACTCAACAAACGTAACCTATTGACCTCAGGTGAAGATACCAACGATGGTCGTTCAGTCTTGGCCTCGGGTAGCCCTAACGACTGTAACGACTGTCGTTACAGTAACCAGGAACACTAACGAACCAGCAGTATCGATGACCCTGGCAAACGAACCCACTGAGGTTAAATAGCTGAGTTTCCCTGCCAGTCAGTCAGTACTGAATAAGTCTTTTGGATGAGGGACGAAACGTCTTCCAGTATCTTCAACCAAGTCCAGTTGCCCTTGATTTTAACCTTCGTTGGATAGCAAATAAGTGCTTATAAATATGAAGAAAGGGCCTTCAACAAAACACAATATTATTAGGTAAAATCAAAGAATTAAATAGAATTAAAATAATTGCAATGCATTACTTTTAGTATAAGGCCAATTTATACAGTGTTTTCACATGAGCTGTATATCATATATAATATATTCATTTTTAGGAAACCATTCTTTCCCTTGTGCAGTATTACAGAGAGAGAGAGAGAGAGAGAAAGAGAGAAATAAAATGAGCTAAAAAGCTATCACAAATTGTTTTTCTTCATGTAGCCACTAGACATACTTTTAATAAATAATCTTTGTTTTTGTAATGACACTTGTTAAAGTATCATATGTCGTCCTTTTGCCAAATGCTTATTTATCGCCATTATTGACATCAACTCTGTCAAGTCAATGTCATTTTGTTTATTTTATCTTCACGTTTTGGTCCATTGTACTCCAAGTATGAAACTGCTGATACTGGATATTTAGTCAAATTCAAAATCAGATTTGGGTCTCTTGTACATTGTCTTTAGAGCAGGCTTGAATCAGTAAAGGTTCCTGTGTGGCTGAGCTGTGTATGGTACTGAGCATAGGAGGGTGGTGGTAAGTGCTCTTGTAAGTGTTGTAGTGGTTGTAGTGCTCCAGAGGGGGCAGAGATAGGTGTCTCTCCATGGCAGCAACACCTGCAAGCTCTTCTTCAACAGTAATGACCTCCATGGAGGACGCAGGGCCATCAGGATCTTGCTGGTTATGCTGCTTCCTCATCTTGTAGAAAATAACCAGCAGAACAGCAGCCATAAGTGTGATGGCCACGAAGCAGCCAATGATAATCTTGGTGGTTTTCATCACCTCATCCAGGCCATTGAGAGCTCCCTCTCCATCCAGATCAAGAACTGGAATGGTGTAAGTCCGCTCTGTTGTCCTTGTTAAAACAGGAGTACCTTTTGTTGTTGAGGATGACACCCATCCAAATGGGGGAAGTGGCGTTTGGCTGTCATCCCCCGGGGTCTCAATGGTCTCAACGGTGACTGTGGTAAAATAGGTCACCCCGCTGTTTTCCACAGAAGTAACATTAAGTACAGCAGAGGCAGAAATGTTGCCTGCTGTGTTGCTAACCATACAGGTGTAAGTCCCAGTGTCCTGCATTGTGACAGTAGTAAAATTCAGTGTCCCATCATTGAGTACAGACAAACGCACTTTATAAGCCCCATGTGTCACCAAAGAGCCATTTGGTGTAAGCCAGCTGATGGATGTCAACGAGCTTGTACGACATTTAAGCTCTGCGCCCATTCCTTCTGTCACATTCAAGTCACTGGGTGGCTCCACAATGACAGGGACATCACACTGGAAGTAGCTATGGTCCAATTCCCCGATGTAGCGACCTTTAAAGACTGTAGGAGTATGGCAACGGGCACAGCAGCTGGTATTGGCAGGTACTGCCTCCTTCAGCCACCAGCTGAGCCATAAAATATCACAGTTGCAGTTCCAGGGATTATGATGGATGTGGACCCGCTCCAGGCGATGCAACGGTGTGAAGAGGTCATGTGGTAGAAAGGTAAGGTTGTTGTGAGCCAGGTTGAGCTCCACCAGTGATTGAAGGTCATCAAAGGAATTCCTCTCAATAGTTTGGATCTGGGCATGCATCATCCACAGCTTCTGGAGGTTCACTAATCCTGTAAATGAGCTGGGCTTGATAACAGAGATCTGATTTCCTGACATTTCTAGTTCTTCAAGCCTGACCAATGGTAAGATGTTGGGAATCTCCTTGAGGTTGCACATTCCCAGGTTCAGGTAGCGCAGGTTGCTCAAGTCCTTAAAGGCTCCATCAGAAATGTAGGAGAGACGTTTGAGCTCACCTAGATCCAGCCTTCGAAGTGAGGGGACCCGGTTGAAGGCATAAGATGGTATACTTTCGATGGGGTTGTTCCGTAGCCACAATTCCTTCAGCTTGGACAAGTACTCAAATGCTCCATTGGGGATTGTCGTGAGCCGATTATCAAAGAGTTCCAAGGTGTTGAGACTGGTCAGCCCATTGAAGGCGCCAATTTCAATGCTGCGGATGTGGTTCTTGCTCAGCTGCAGGATCTCCAGATGGCGCAGATGTTTGAAACTGTCCACCTTGATGACCTGGATGAGGTTGTCCTGGAGGTTCAGGTAGCGAGTGTTGGTGGAAATGCCATCTGGGACGTCCCGTAGACTGCGGCGGGTGCATATGACTTTGCTGAACTGGTTACTGCATGAGCAGACAGAAGGGCAGGTCTGAGCACGAACCAGCCCAGCTACCACCAGGATCTGAAGGGCCAATAGCAGCACAAAGAGGGGGTTTGACAGCGCCCCCTTCAGCTTACGACCTCTCATTGTCTGGCGCTGGAGGGAGGAGATCATTGTGTTCAGCATTCATAGTTCATCTGCTGTTTGGGTTCTCTGCAAAAAGAAGAATAAAGAAAGACAAGAAGAAAAAATATTTAGTAAACACATAAAGTAGCAAGGAATACATTGCTGATCTTTTAATTAGTTATAGATATCAATGGCCCAATACAAGATCTTTTAGTGCTGAACTGATCAGTTGGTCAACAGAAAATGACAATGACAAAACAATTGGTTGTAATAGCTTCTGAAATGTGAACAAATCTTGCTTTTGAATGTTTTATATGATGTAACATTTATATATGTTTTAAATTGAATATCATGAAATTGAATAGATGAACAAACAATTTGAAGATGTAACTTGGAGCTCTGGGAAGTTATAATATTATAATAATATAATATAATATTTTTCAAATTTTTTTGTCAAACTGAACCATTCATCAAAACATATTTATAGATATTGAAAAGAATCATTACTTGCAGCCCTAATCTATGTATATTGTACAATGGGAATAGAATGATGAAAGAGCAATATGAATTAGCAGCTTCAATTAATTGTCAATACTGCCCATCTGTGGAATATAATAAGCTTTTTGTTAGCTCCCTAACCCTGGATTGCCCCAGATTTCCAGACTTCACAGAAGCTGATGCATCTACACTGCAGACCAAAAATGAAAAACAATAACTTAAAATCTGCCTGCCATTTGAGGAGGTCCTGGGAATTTTTTGTAAGCACTTTACTCATTGGAATTATTTAATTCACAAAGACTTAATTGTGAACATTTTTTTAAAAAGCTGTTGAGGTCATTGGCACCCCTTTTCAGGACAAGACACGTCATTGACACCAAAACATTACACTTGATGAAACTGGCCCTGCAATGTTGCAAACAAATACTGTCTGAGAGCCACTGAGAAATTTGTATAGAATATCTGTCCATGATAAAATGCAAATAGCAATGCAACCTGTGAAATGCATACTCTGACAAACAAAGTCCAGCTACTCTTGCCTGTAATTGTGCTGTGGCTTATATCTTGATGTAAAACACAACAATATATTAACAAAGTAATGGATAAATATTATTCAGTGATGAAACCATGACTTTTTACTCAAATATTCCATAACCTGTTTATTGCCTTTGCAATATTTTATCTGTGGTTCATTTCCTGGGGTTTCAAAAATCATGAATTATGCTTCTTTTATTAAAAGCAGTATTGCAGTGCTGTCAAATAGTGTGAAGAGTGTGAAGAGGTCTGGTGTTGTCTTTGCATAACTATACAGTAGCAGAATTTATTATCTCCCAAATCAAGTGACTAACAAGAAACTCGTTACCCCGTTATCTTAGATTAGATTAAATTAGATTAGATTAGTCCATTGAGTCAAAAGTGTCTAGGAATATGTGTGCTCAAGATAAAAATAGACCAAGACATTTATACACATACAGTACAGCCTGTGCCTCCCACTTCCACACAGCAGTGTCGATGTGTTGCTATCACCCCTTATTATCATCATCCCACAAGGATGGTAACCTAGAAATATATCAATATCTACTGTATACCAAACATATCATATGCTGTAAAATTATAAAATGTGACAGCATTGTGTCAAACTGTGCTATTAAGTGATGCAGACACTATTCTTCATTGCAGTTAATACCTTTGCCAAGAGCAAAGCACCATTGCCAAGTGCAAAAAACATTAACCTTGCCTCCTGGGTCCTCAGATTTAAGTATTCTCCTTGTCTCTTACCAACTCTTCCAACCCAAGTTATCTGTTAATAATCTTTTTCCGTCAAACCACAAGCAAGACGGAACAAGTATATTATGACAGGTGTTTTCTAAACGGTTAAATTTGTTAACTGAGGTGGAAATGTTCTCCGGTAAGGATGAATGACTTAATGAGTAGAAATGAGTCTACATGTGGCTTGGTTTTTGCACCAGCCATGCTGCCACACCAGCCATGCTGTAGAGAAGCTGCAGAGAGACAAGACTCTGCTGGGGAATCAGATCGAATGAGGCCTCCCACTGGCAGGAGCTCATTTTGTCTGGCTGGAATTACAACAATTCTGTGCTGCCACCTAAGAGAAGAAAATGTCAGACATGACAACACACAGATAGAGATTATCAGCTGTCAATAAAACATCTCCGTTTCTATTTCTACTGGAATGCCTAAAGAAAAACTGTAAATTCAGCAATGATCATGTTAATCTACCACTTATAGAGTAATTATAGCTTTGGCCACATGCACTCTTCATAAAACATTTTATCTCAATAAATGTTATCAGAACAGAATGCCTCATTACATAAAGGGATGGCACATATATTGCAAAAACAAATTTGCTTCAAACATCCTCCCTTCCTTTGTTGGTGTAACACTGTGTGGATTAATTTCATCTAGGCACACTCCACATGTATTCATAGCCACAGAAAGCAGTAGCAGCTTACATCTAAAATCCTGCCAGCAACATAAAAACCCACCCACCCTTACTTTTATGCTTCTGCACCAGCAGCCATTGACATTATGTCTGACACCACTGTGATTTGCCAAATTCATTTGTTATAATGAGTTTGTTGGGAAAGTGCTAGGGTAACATATGTTGCAATCAGGGTGTGCAGAGTAAGGAGAGTAATATAAAGCAGAGTATTTCAGAGCACTTAAATTACAATGTCAGATGATTAGAGTCTTGTCGGTGATGTGCACTGCAAGCAACAACATTCTGCTCCAACTAGCGAACTGTGTTGGCTTGGACATTCCCTAAACACCAGGGAAGCAAGCTTGGCAGTCTAAGATGCAAAAGCCTAAATAACTTAGTGTCTACCAATCAAGGAATCACAAGTGACAAAAAAAAAAAACATTTCAATTTGCACTTTTCAGACAGAAAAGGCACATGTTCAGCAGTTAGAATGCTAATCGCTAATGTGTGGCATGAGATTCTAATACTGAGTTTATCAACGCCTACATCCCCAAAAACCAAATGTTTTCATTCCCTGCCTTAAATGGAATTGTATATTATAACAGCAAAAGTCAATGGAAAGAACATGAAAAACATGTTTATTCGTCTCATACTCTATTGTACTATTTGGGAGGAGAAAAAATCCTAGAAACACAGTTTATTTGATAATTACTAAACATTTGCCATTTGCTGTGAGTGAAATTGATAGATTGGGTAAAACATGAAGTGATATGAAATCTGGCAAGTCTCTCATCACGATTGAGAAAGAAGCCCGTGGCCACTAAGAGGGCTGTCTGATGATCATCTTGCTAATTCATTCAACACATTACTGATTCATTACATTTGCATACGTTTGTTGCATGTCTTGTTTTTAACCTCGTTTGTGCTGATGTTGTAACCTCACAGGGCATCTGCGTTTTACAAGACCTGTGTACAGACAATGTGCCTAGGAGATACAGATGGATAACAGGTTTGTTTTGTTCCAGTGTTTGAAAATATGACACAAATTTGAGTGCTAATGAATATATTAGTTTACATTCAATACAATAAAAAAGGACCTAAGCGACCTAACAAACAACATAATACAAGAGACTAAGATGAGGCTGGTAATATTCTCCAATTTTTGTTTTTACAACAAATCCCAGCAAAAAAACAAAAACAACCTAGAGTTTATTCATCTCTCAATACTTTTTGAATTTCCTACTGTGTCTGTTGCAGTCGGCCTAAACCCCATCATTACTAGAGAACACAATCTTTCAAAACAGGTCACAAAATGCATAGTTCCCTATTGTGAAAATGGCTCTGTACTATCCTAAAACTGTGTGAACTGTAGTTAACTTAATGCATTTGTGGGGAACTATTTTTGGCTGCAGATTAATACACATTTGGTGCACAAGTGAGTAATTGACTCAAAACAACCAGTGTTCACTGAAATGAAGAAGCATGTCACCCAGTGCAACGCTGTGGCTCATTTAATAGTTGAGCTCTATAGCACAGAGGAACAAGCTATATCAAAGTAAAAAAGTACAAAAAAAACAACAACAGAATAGTGCCAGCATTATTTTTGTAAATGGTCTAGAGAAAATGAAAATAGAGCTTCAACACTTATTCAAGGAGTTGTTGAAAATTAGCACCTATTTTGCTACTTCTCAGTTCCACCTTCTCAAAAGTGAGGATTTGTTGTCACATTTTCTTTGTCATATTCTTTGTCACAAATGATAGAAACTGAATATCTTTGGGTTTTGGACCACTGGTTGTTAAAAGACATCATTTGAATATATCACCCTGGCCTCTAAAACAAGACAAAACAAAAAAGGTTTTATAGATCAGATGCAGCAGATTAAACTGAGTAAACACTGTTTACTTGTCTCTGTGTTGTTAAGGTGAAGACTCCAGACACTACAAACAGTAAAAAATAAACCTCTTTGTTGCAGTGTGTGTGGATGTTTCTATGCTTGTTTGCGTATGTCTCTAAGGATATATCTTGCACTGGGCCCATCATAACTGGAGGCCACCACTGCTGCTGTCTCATTCTGACATACAGACTGAGAGTGCTTCACTCTTCGGCTCTGCTCCACCTGAAAAAAAAAGGCAAATTCCCCTCCCCCATCTTGGCCTCAGTACGCAGAGTGCTGGTGTTAGGGAAATAAATCTAGGAGGCTGTTGGGTGCTGCTGACTTATCAGCCAAAGTCTATTCCTTTAACAGCAATAGAAATGATGGACCTTTCGTTGACCGGATGATTGTCAGAACAACAAAATAATTTTTTTGAACATTTTTCATTCTCTTGGGATGGTGTTATCCAACATAAGATTTTTTTGTATTGTGACTGGCTTGCTTGCTGCAGCCAATTTTAAACAATATCTATGCCTGTAACAAGGATAAGTTCAGGTTGTTTAGAGTACTGGCTTTACTGCAGCTGTGCATCATAATACTTGGTATATTGTCATGTTTACAGTGGTATAATCACATTTGTCATTTCCTCTAGCTGTTAACGCCTGCTGTATATTGTTATTTGCCTTATTTTTATCATATCATTTGGTTGGTCCAGTTGTTGTAGGAGTGATGTTTTGAAACAAAAGACTTAGCACTAGTCACATTTAGTGAGT